GAATAATTAAGATCAAATATCACATAACGCACCCTTTACCTCTTTGAGCGTTTTGAACATCAGTTAAACAAATATTACGCGGTCGTTTACTGTTTTTGTAGATGTCTCTCCTAATAAGAATATTGTAAATAATCAGCTTTTAACCTTTTTACGAACATTAACCACTAAGATGGGTAATATGGGTGACTAATATTTATTATCAAAATAATCTACAGAACACAACATTATTCCACAATGTACTGATCATTTGGGTATATTAGGTCACCATGTGACTATGAATGTACACTAAACGTCATTGTTCAGTTCATTTTCAAAGATTTTGTGATGAGTTGAATGTAAAATATGAGAAAAGGTTATTTTCGCTGGATTTTATTTTCACTGATACATCCCTTCAGCAAAAATATTGAAAATAAATTCCAAGTGAAAAAAGTAATATACAGTATACAAGATAGCCGCCATCTTGGATAATAGCTGACAGAACACTGTCCATCATGCAGCTACATGAATTACAATAGGGGCGATGTAACACTCAAACTAATGTTATTGAAATATTATTTAAGGCATTAACAATGACTTAAACATTTGATATTTTTGAAATATATTTATAACCCATTTATTTCAGTAGAATTGGTTTATAAGCGATAGATAAAATATTACTTCTCATCTGTTTTCTGTACCAATCTCTACTGGACATCGGAAATAGACGTACCCAACCGTAAGGTAATTGAAACAAACGACTGACAATATTAGACAACAAAATCTATGAGAACAAAACGAACAAAACTGACAATTAAATTAAACTACAGCGTCAAACCAGTAATATAAATAGTTTTTACAATAAGCTCATTCTCAATAATTTGCTGTACAGACTAATTTGTTTGACGTGAGGGATTTCGTTTCGTCTCAGTTTTGGTGACCGGTGTTGAAGCTCCATCTGCGCCGCGAATGTTGCATTGGTTTGTTTTCAATGAACCCACACAATCTATCTGCATTGATTTATGTTATCCACCAAAAGTTGAAGTTCTAATTGAAAAATATTGTCTATACCGTGACTGTTACCATCTTCATTATATAACTTCGAATATTCTATATAATGTTACTTGTGTTTGTTTGGGCTAAGCAAAACACGTGAACGTTTTCTCGACGTAATATATTATATATAGCTTGACACACTTGGGTTTAATAACAAAAAACGATTTACTATATAGGAGACAGAGTGTGACAATCCACTTTAAATTTGACATTTAGCAGCACTGTCGCCGAACACTGTCGCCGTTTCTGCCAGAGGCTGCAAAGGCGTGTCATTCCAGAATTTTTTTTTTTTTTTTTTTTTTTTTGGTTTAACTATCTTTTATTCCATACAATAGAAATTCTTTACAGCACAATGTCAACATACAACAAATGTCACAGCTAGTATAACCCATACAAAATAGACACTGAATACCCATTAACAATTGAAGTCTCCCTACTTGTCCAGGAAAATAGACATTGTATGTCTTCTATTTGAAATTTCTAACTCTATCTTCTGCGTGTAACGTATGTCAGATTTTATGAGATTAAGGCATGGTAGTTCCTTTTTTAATTTAGATATTTCTTTTAATAATTATAATTATATGGTTTAGTGGAGGGGAGAAGTCCTTGTCTCCTAATATAATCTGTTTTGCTGACAATGTTCTTGGGCATCCTAGTTTTGTTCCCCATAGATTAAAAATTGATGTCCAGAGGACTTTAGTAGACTCGCATTCAACAAAAAGATGCACTAGGTTCTCGGTGGTACCATGACAAAATTACCCCAGACCATTCGTCCCGGTGTTATCGCTATCGCCACACGAGACTCCAGCTTGTCTCCTATACAATTTGACTGCGCACATCCAGAAAGTAGATGTAGCTGTGATTGGTGGAATACTAATGAGTTGAGTGTCAATCAAACGCCCACGCTATCTTTAGTAAACAAAGTCACGTGACACGCGCCATTTTAGTTTTGGCAGGCGATTTCAAGGCAGCACGCTTAACCCTTTCGTTCACAGGTTGGGAGATATTAGAATGACTGACAATTTCACGCCACTGTTTTACATTATTGGCGGATTTTTCTGCGCTATCAATCTTTCTCTTACAAACTAGACATAGATGAGACGACAGAGTCGCTCCTTTCACAACGTCGCACTGGATCAAATTGGAAAGACGATTTCCATAAGTTATCCCTCCTGCTTTTCCTGGCTTGAATAAATTCACACACGACTTTAACTGTCCACAAACTCGAAGACTACACGAACACAGTCTACAATAGTCGTTCGCAACAATATGTATGTATTTCTTCGGTGTACTGATGCACGAATGCACCGTGACACGGTGTTTCTCGGGTGTCGCCATCGCTGAGAATGTCGCCGGCGCAATTTTTCACCCAACTCGCGATTCTGTTTTGCAACATTTTATCAATATTCCCTTTGACAAAATCGCCGACAAAAGCACCGCTTTGCTGACCTTTTGTTCTATAATTCTTAATGCAAACACCGACC